TTACACTTCTCGGCAAAGAGTAAGAGACTCTCAAATGAATAGCTAGAAGTATAAGTTGCAACAATATCTACTTCTTTCCTTGTCTTCGTTGCACCAAAAATATACTTCACCATAAGATGCAGAGCATGCAAATTACATTCTTGAAAGAATTTATCCAGAAATTCAGTTTTTAACAAGGTCCACGCCTTTTTATTTGCCGAGGTATTATTAGTGACGGCGCAATCAAAGACTGTGTTTGGATGTTTTTTGATAATACAACTAATGTTTTGAACAATCTATTGAACTGTGTGATCTTGTTTGCAAGTGTATACGGACTTCAAGAATAAACTAGCTCAACATGCTGTAATGTAATTTACCTACAACTTCAATTCAAATATTAGACCAATTGTCAATCATTAGAAAAACAAATGATAACAAAGTAGATTATTATACAGTGCATCTCTCCTTCATCTCATTGTAACATAAATCTAGCAAATCATTGGCTAATTCTTGCAATTATACAGAAAATTCTTCATCAGATCGCAACATTTTGATTGCTTCAATCAAATTTGTATTTTTAATTCGTTGAAATCATGTGAGTGTGCAATAATAATACTAAGTAATGGCTATCTAAAATTTCTTGCTGGTTGAAGGGTCTACAATTGGTTACAAAAATGATCTAATAAACAATTGACTATGTGATTTTTCTTACTCTGATTTTGATACTTGTGATGGAACTACTCGTCTCTTCAAACCTGTATACCATCTAGGTCGATACCTTATATTCATGCCATTCATTAATTTTCTTAACGTAACACACATGTTGAGATGAACTACAACACTTTCACATTTTGTGGTAATTCACTCTCAGACGATAGTGTCTACATATTCTTGATTTTTTTATCTCATGCAGTTTTTCAAGAGTGAAATTTTCTCGCACATCACTAACTTTTCATACTCTATTCTTGAACCCAAGTTGAATCATTGGAATCAACTTGTGATGAAAATCAAGCTGATTTCAATCATTCGGCAAGTTGACTACGTCTACAATGTTCATAAGTTCCAATTCTATAATCTCTACGATAAAAGCCAATCTTTTCAAAGCCATTCTTTTGTTTGACAACAAGTGACTTACATTTATATTCTTGTTGCTTAAAATTTTTAGTATTTCAATAATTTATGATCAAAATTTAACCTAAATCTTATGTTTGATCTCAAATTTGAGATATAATTTTAAATTTTAATTCTAAATATTTAAGTTATGATTTCAAAATTCAATTTGGATTTCCAAAGTAAGTTCAGATTTTCAAAATTTGAGATGAGATTTTGAATTTCAGTTCAGATTTTCAAATGAGATTTGATGTTGAATTTATATTCTAATTTCAAATTCAAATCAAATCTTTAAATTTGATTTCAACCCAATCCACATTTTCAGGTTTTTCAAAAAAATCTTATTAAATTTGATTAGTAAAAATTGTACATTGGCAACCCTAATTAGACTATGTTGGCGGTGAATTTAAGTAAGTCTTTGTTTGGATGCGTGTTATATTTTAGCTCGTTCGGCTCTTCTCAACATCAAAAACTAACTCGTCTATTTGAAGATCAAAAGTTAAGTATCATATTTACATGAATGTAGTTGAATGACGAATCATTTTACTATATGCATGTACTTTTTTTTGGTGAATTTGATACTACAATTGATATTCAAGCAAATTTGACGTATTTGGTTGATTTTATGGAGCGTAGTATAAACTGGATCAAAGATGAATGCACTTCAGGAGACTTGGAGGAAATATTCAAAGCTTGACTGCTATTAATGCTTAATCATAAAATTTGAGGAAATGAGAGTTTTGCTTGTGTTGTCATCTGCATATGAAGTTTTTGAACAATCCATTTCCAGATGGCAACACCAACAAGAAGCCTTAAAATCTAGTGAGTCTTCAAACATTTACGATAGATTTCAAGGCTCACGAATAAATTGTATGTATCTTTAAAACACATGAACTTCAAGATGAAAGATTTTAGCACAAAAATTTACCATCACATTGAAGCATTTTATGATCTTTTCATTAAATTTCAAAATATTGAAGAGCATATTCTTCATAATAGTGAAGCTCTTCATCTTGTGAGTTCATAGCTTGACTGATATCAATTTTTTTCATGTATGTTTCTTTATAGTTATAATCAAACAATCATTTATAACAAAAAATTAAGCACTATGCTTAACTTTCACATGTGTTTCTTCATCATATAGGCAAACAATCATTTGCAACAAAATTGTAAATGCTTTTTTTAACTGATGATCTTAAAAAAAACATGGCGTCGTTTTCTATTTCATGCTTAATTGCAATTGGGTGTATAAGCTAAAAAACAATTCATTACTTGATCAGAGAAGATTCTTATCTCGTAGTTCATGGTTAGAGTTTTCACACAATAGAATAGTGTAGACTCTAACAAAATATTTCTTACATGTATGAAAGTATGCTACAATTAAATAGATTCGTGTATTTGCTACAATTTGTAATCTGATTATGAATCACATGGAAATAGTTATTAGATTTTTTTTATCAATAGAGGAAAAAAATTTAAACAAAATAATAAACTTGTTGTAAAATTAAAAGTCAAGAGAAGTTGATTTGTACATTGTTGAAATCATTATATTGATTGAAACAAGTTTATACACATCAGAATGTGAAATTTGATGAATTCATGGAAATATAAGGTTTTTTATCGAGTGTGTAAGATACTTTTGTATACATGACAAAGGTGGATAATGATATTTTTATTTTTATTATTCTAGTAAATGATATGATTATCTTGGTGAAGAATCAATCAGAAGTGAACAAATGCAAGAATTAGCTAAAGTATGCATCTAAGATTAAATATTAGGCTAAATCCAAGAAAATATTAAGGATAAATATTCATAGATTTTGGTAAAAAAGAGTTTATGATTCAAGCAAAGCAAGTAAGTTCAATGTGTGCTCTACTATGAGAAATTTTGAAGTAATATGGACTCCTTTGGTTGCTCATTTCAAACTTTTTTCATCTTCATGTCCAAACTATGCCATTGAAAAAGGAAACATGTCATCAATGTGTTATTAAAAATCTGTGATCAACCTTATATATTGAATAGTCTGCATGAATCATTATATTGTTTAAGATATGAGCAAGATGAACATGTACATATTCAATACATGGAAGATGTTTGGAAATCAGCTACTAAGTATTATAGATTATTGTTTGATTGAACAATGTTATGTTACCTTGGTGATAACTATGAACAAGACAATATTTGATATTTATGTAGGTTTTGCTGGTTTTGCTACACTAGGTATGTGTCTATACTTGATAGTGGATCAATTAGTTGAAAATTTACTATGTAAAAGTGCGTATCTCAGTCTATCATGGAAGTTGTAACAATAGTACAAACAAAAAGATGAAGATATTTGGTTCAATAGACGAATCATTGAGATACAAATGAAAGAACAGGTTGTCAATTTTTTATCTTTTATAGTCAAAATGTGTCATATCTTGCTACAAATCAAATGAAAGACAGTTAAATGAAACACATTGAAGTCATGCATCATTTCATCACATGGCATTTTTGATTAAAAATTAATTAGTTCAATTTTTTATCATCAATCCAGCTAATGTTTTGATCAAAGTAAGTATTTTTGAAAGTTTTGATAAACATTTTGCTACTATGCAATTTTGACATGATGAGCACTAGTAGATTTACTAGCAATTTTAGTTATCTTTGTATATTGTTACTTAATCATGAAACTTTTACAACTTAGTTCTAGTTAGCTCTAGCTTAAAGAATGTCACGTGCTAGATTTTCTACTAAGACTTACATTAACGTTATTATATAGATTATGAAGTCTATTGTGTAATTGACATAAATTGAGGAGACAATTGTTAGATTAAACTTATATCAAGAATGTTGTTGACTATTGGCTATGTTGGCGATGTACACAATTTACTTTTCTCTTGGATTCTCACTTAACATTGCTATTGAGTACTTAGGATGGACAAACCTAGCTTGTCATCTGAAACATTACATCAACATTTAGATATGTGTTCACCTGGAATAAACAACAATATCGCATGTAATTTTGAGTTTTATGTTTTTTGATTATTGTGAAACATGGATTTTAAATTCTTGACAACATTTAGATCATTATTTATTATTTCCTTTTTTTGAAAAAACATTTTTTGTATCAAAAATTATAACTAATATATTGTTGGGGCGTAATATAACTATCTCAATGATAATTACAATCTTTCAATTTGCAGATTTTTATCATGATTAATTTACAGAAAGTTTTATTTTTGTAATGCTTCTTCCAAGTTATTTAAAAAATATTATCTATTTTCAGTTTTGTATCTAGAAAATTTCAATAAAAATGAGGATAAAAATTTGGCTTTATATATCATATATTTACTATGGCTTTATATATCATGTTTACATGATATTTTGAACTATTGAGTCATATTAGAACAATAATGTTGTTGAGATTAAAATTTCACATTAAAAAGTTCTTTGAAAAAACAAGAAAACAACTTCCTTCATGTTTTTATGCATAAGAGTCAAAGTTTCTAATATGTGATTTTGATTGAATTGTGATTTCATATTAACACATTAGAAGAAAAAGTTTCATTTCGTCAATCTGTATCATACTCTAATCACCTATTGTTGGCTTTTATCGAATGAATCATAATTTCATCAATTTTCAAAAAAGTTGAACTAGTTATGACCTCTTTATCTTTTCATCATCATCCATTCTTTATTATTTCTATTGGTTTTAGAAGAAAATTCTAGCAAGAATTTTCAACTTCATAGGAATAAAAAATGATATCTTTAATTGTTTCTGAACGAAGATGGTGCTGAACTCAATTCAAGTCTACCCTTCCTAGGGTTTAGATCTACCCTAGGAAGGGTCTACAGATTGTGGTTGAGAAAAAATTTGCGCCTGCGACACGACAGAAATACCTGGCCAGGAGCACCCACCAGAAAAATCCTGGCTCCGCCACTGCATACATCTATGTGTATAGATTATAGAAACACATTTCACCAGATACACCTCTACTATTGCTACGCAAGACATGCAGTGGATGGTGGAATTTTAGTTAGACCAGTCACTAAAGACCTCTTCCTCTTATGGTCAACCATGAATATTTTATCATGGGAGGTGGAGACATTGAGTAAAACAGCAATCGTCGGAAACTAAGTTTAGAAGATTCAAAGTCGATCACTTTGTGGAAATCTAGGAGAAATATTCTAGATAAGCACTTGTAGCTCAGGAGGAGAATGACAGAGTGTCGTTCAGCATCAGGTTTGAAAAATCACATTTGTGTTGAAGAAAAGCGTCCACTTTTTTCGTTTTCTATTGAGATCAGACACATGCATTCTGTTCTACAATTAATTGATTTGTTTATGTACTCAGATCAGGACGAGGGAGGAATCAGTCTATGTAATGGAGCTTATTATCGATATAAGTATTACTCCATCACGCAAACTGGTGTCAAATTCCATCTGTGCTCGTTTCCCGTTCGTCGAAATCCACGACATGTGAAGCTTATTCAGGGTGCAGAATCTCTGAACATTTGGATCGCCACGTTTCATTTGGCACTTGTTAGGAAGAGGGTATGAGGTTGTCTCTTATACCGCCCTAAAGAATCCGCGGACAACCAATTAGGGCTCCCGAGTTTCACTCAGTTGTTGATGCCGAACTAATCAAAGTGAACTCCAGTCAGTTGACTCAATGCATAACTATGGAGCTTGCAAAATAGAATTCTCGAAGGAGTCAACGTTTGACTTGACTCTGGATATGGTTATTGTCATATAGACCATTCTAGTCTGAATCAGCGCTGTCGATTGCAATGTTGTTTGTTAATGGTTTGACTTTGTTTACTTACATGTTTTGAATGCTACGACGTATGTCTCCTCGTCATATGTCTAGACGATCGAGGCAGTCAGGTTTTCACTGGTTTCCTATGGCGTTCCTCTGATTTTGGTCTTTTATTGGTGTCTGGGGGTCAGTAAACGACTTGGAATGAAAAACATTCCGAGGCTCTGACAGGTGAGAGGAAAGTCTGTAGTAATAATTCCAAAACAAAAACATTTGAGATCTGCCTATGAGCTGAAGAATGATAGCTCTTTTCAAGTTGAATTCGCCTTCACTTAAGACTACAAGGTGTTAATATTCGTGACGTCTTCTTGTCTTCCTGCTCCCATATGCCATGACGAAAGGATCGAATCAGTAATAAACATAAAAGAGAATACACCAACTATGAAGACAGCAAAGTCTGTTCTGCAAGAAATGTCTGAATTCCACCGGTGAGCACGAAACTCGATTGACTTCGTAAGCGATGAGCATATCGCATCCATTCTGCCTCACGCAAAGTGTTGACACTGGAGTTTTATTTTTCCAGAAAATCTGCTCCAAGCTTGCCTATGATGAATTGTAGCCTAGTGCCGTCAGAATCCCCCACCCAAAAACATTATTTTTTCAAAGAATGCCTCTCCACATGTCACTACTTTAGAACAACCAGATGAATGTGGAAAATGTCATTTTTTTAATCAAATGCACTCTCAAGACTAACACGCAGTAACAGGTTCAAGGTTGGCAAAAAAACCTTCGGTAGCTTTGGCAGCCAAGAAACATTCTCGTCAGCGAGGGAATGACTTTTCAGCGAAGGCAACTTTTGACGCAAATCCCTATCGTCGTTTAAGTTGCGAGCCAAAAGATACATGGTTTGATGTTATTGAGCATCTAGTCGCTTGCGTTTGTTGGTCTTGCATGAGAGAGTTATCAAAGTGGCCGGAAAGTAGCGAGGGTCTGCCGTGCTTTGACATGTGCCCAAGACTGCAGCTTTTTCATACGAATTAGATGTTGACTCAAGGGATCTAAAGTTGTCGAAGGAAAAGTCTCCCAGTAAAGACTAATTGTGCGCGGAATACTGAACGATGCGACTCATATCTCTCCGCGGTCTACATCAACTATTCAACTCCAGGAACCATTCAATCCAGTTCTCGGGTCACCGATTGAGTCCACCCCGACGAATTGTAACCCTAGTAATTTAGCAGAGTTTTACTTCTACCGAGGTGGCATTTAATCTGTCTCCCGTTGTCTCCGACTGAAGACATTAGGGTATTGAATTCTCATGTTTAGCATCAGTCGTGTACCGATTCCTCACGAGGACACGGTACCCGACTTTCGTCAATTCGATGCCGTCAAGTCACTGATTCCGTCATTGCTTCTAGACATTGGGACTTTTTCCACCGCTTTTAACGGGAATCAAGTTTGGGCATCGCAACATTGAAAGATGGATTCAATGTCCTCCAATGATCTTATGCAGAACCACAGATGTCACGAGGGCTTCAACCACTCTGGATGCGTGGGCTGTTCCACATCAACCGCATTTCGATCTTATCCACCTCGATCTGGTCCTAAACACAGAGAGCGGAAGCATTACAATATCCGCTCTGTTTGCCCGACATTGAACTTTGAGAGTACTTGAACTTTGAGAGAACTCTGAGAACTTTGAATGAATCTTTCAGTTTCAATCCCATCCCATTCTACATTGATGTCTCGAATTTGGTTCATGTATAACGAAGTAAGCCTGGAGTGACTGGATCCAAATAAAATGAATGACATCCGTTCAATTTCTTAAAGCGAATCAGTCCACGAAGGGACTTCAGAATCTTTTTTTTGTGGAACTCAGCTCTGTATTCGTTGATTATGGAAATTGGTTTCGAAGCTGACTGCAACATATTCGCAGACATTCTGTCGAACATCATGTTTGTAAAATTGGAAGATGATCATTCATTGTAAAGTACTATATGTCTTAGACTTTCCTGTTGTCGAGAATTAGGCATGCTTTTTCAGAGGAAAGCAAGCACGCTCTTTCTAAAATTCTCTCGAAAATTAAGAGTGCCAGGAAACCCACCGAGTGATCGCAGATCTGCTGGTCTGCGGTGCGCGTGACCACCAGAATGCTGAAACATGCAAGCAAGATGCACCGCTGAGTTGGTTGCTAGCTTTCTCTTCTGGATCTACGAGACTGCAAGTGATGCACGTTTTCCAATCCTTGCAGCAACTCGTTCAAGCATGCTCTTTCTGGCGACATGCCAGAGTCAGAAAAGACTTTTCCACTTTTGATTGTTTCTAGGCCTACAGCACAAAGTCCAAGCTGCGTACTCGAAATTGTGCAGCTTTTGAACCCGTCGTCCTTAAATTATCCATATCCCCAAATTGATCCTTGCGTCAATGCTTCCATCACCGATAACCGGATGCAGTCACTTTTCTAAGAGAATGTTGATGTCAATCAAATTGGGGGCGCGGCCCTCCTGTTACAGAGAACTAAATCGTCCCAGGTTAATGAACCCTCTAAAAAGTCATAATTGGAAGCCGCTGCATATTCTAGAAGTTGACCGCAGCCGCGGTACCAGTACGAAGAAAAAATCTTCGATACATTTGATGGCTGCAAGTTGAGTCATGTCACCTGGTTCAACTCGATTCATAAAACTTTCACGACGAGAATCGGTCGTCACCTGGAATTGTGACTGTTCTATGATCTCGTGGCCTCAATGGTCCTCGTGTACGTACAGCAGTCTTCCTCCTCTGAGAGAGAATGGGTCTCCCGAGCTGTGATCCTGTTAATGACGCATTATGTAAAATTATACTCATAATCACTGGCTCTACAACCGATTTAAATATTTCTTAAGTGCGTGCAAAGTAGTACATGAGACAAGGTGCTGTGCAATCCGTGCAGGACCAGTCAAATCACACGTTAGATGCGTTTAAAGCAAAAGAATCAAATGCCTCGTTTGAGTGGCTGAGGCGCAGGACAAGTTACAGTCTTCTTATTCAATCATAGTCGATGAACCAAGCTCTAGAATTTGGAACCATGCAAAATTTTAGTGGCAAGGCGATTCATGCATTCTCATAATCTATAACGCTTCACAACAATTCGACAGGAGGCTAATTATACAACGACAGTGACAATATGTGGCCACAAAGGACAGCAGCTTTAAAATTAGCAACTTTTCTGGTGACTCAAAAAGTTGCAACGTACTCGAATGCCAGGCTGATCAAATTAATCATCCCGAACAAATCTAGTGTACGCATGTAGACTTTGTAGATATAAGCATTATGAGATACATTACTTGAAATTTGTAGGATAGCAGAGGTGACATAGACTTCTTAATTTCATACATTTCTTCAGCAAAATAATGACTCCAAACATGATGCATTGTATGATCGGTCAATTATCGTAATGAGTGGATAAAAAGTGGATAAATTATTTCCACTAAGGTACGCCATGATAATAACATTCTCATAAGGATATATGTATCTTAGAACAAATGACGGGGCCAAATAATACTGACACGAAAGGTGAAAACATGTGTACAGCCTCACTTAATACTAGGCTAGATTGGTTTATGAACCTCACGAACAATCAACTCAGTTAGCTCTCACATAGTTATCTCCTTCTAATAATTGATGCCAAATTCTATAGGCTATAACAGTGCAGCGTTCGTGAAAATATCAGAAGATTCAACAAATTTAAGTATAACATTAAGTTATGTTTTATAGCTATTTATGACATGAATAGTTGCGCATTCGTAAGGAATTAGGATAATGCATGTTGATAGTGCATCACCATAATTTCTTATAGTGTTCTAAAACTACATCTATTCACAATAAATCAAGGTCAAACATTGAATCCTTGTCCCTCATAAATGGTTGTGCACAATATACAACCAATTATGAGGGACAACCAACGAAATTTATGTAGATTTGGAAAAACTTATAAATTTCTTGTCAAATCAGAAACACCAAACATGTTGTTAAAGATTTTCACAGTTGACGAAGACCTGCTATTTTAATATTATATCATATCTTTTAACTCCATCATATAATTAACTCTAGTAATTGTATACATGATACACTAATAATTGTTACTTGTGCGTAGAATACCAAAAGCAAATAGGACATACTCTTTGCTTACCAAATAAGTCTCGATTACTTATAAAAGATGAAATGATGGCATCTACATATCAATAATGATGACATGAGAAGACATCGATATACAAAAATTTCATTGTCATCCTAAACATTAAGTTCGATGTTATCTTACACTTTATTGATGGCTAGGGCCTAGTCGCCAAATATTTCAGTATGTAAATAACGAGTTTCAATCCATATAGAAAACATAAATGATTCACTTAGTGGACTAGGCTATGTTTAAAAGGAGGAAATACGACTTGCGCATCCACCTTTCCTCGTCTCATTACGAATCCACCTTTCTTCATTTCCTGATCTAGCTCAAAATACTATTTACTAGATGCAAGGCTTTTACTGAGAGTCAATGCATGTATCACATGCTTGTGACAGTGCATGCATGAAACTCAATCTCAATCATGTGAAGAAATTTCACGGGCTAAAATTATTTATCACATGCTTGTGACAGTGCATGCATGAACACTCAATCTCAATCATATGAAGAAAATTCGCGGGTTGAAAATATTTATCTCTGCTTGTTTATATTCTGTTCCAATTGAAATATCACCTTCATTTCATGACTAATCTCAAGGTCTAAGATTCGACTGGAGGATATTTTCTAGCAGCAAATTTTTCAATTTCGAGTTCTTTATAACTTCTTATAGAATCTTTTCTAGTCAAATTCTTCCATGAAATCAAAACATTTTAAAACATAACACTGTTAATGACAGTCTCCACATGATTTTGATAAAAGATTACCATGATTCAATTTTGAAGTAAAATCTTTTTTGTTATATGGCTTACCACACATTACACACAACTTCGCAATGATTGATTGTTGACTTACAAATATCGGAGATGATATCACAATAATTCCGTGTGAATCATCTTCACATTTGGCCTTGTGTGTCCAAATTGTCCTAAAAATATATCAAAACCGTGATGGATTCCATTGTAAATTGATTACATGGATGAAATGAAGTCGGTGAGTCACATTAAATTCTTGAAGTAAATTCTCCACTCCTATATGTTAAGTTGAATATGCTCGGCAAGACAATCTTATGTACTAGGCTGACGTATCTTAATCTTCATCTAAAATTGTGATAAAAGGCCCCTTTCAATATGAGACAATTTATATTTGTTCTGACTTGATCATTTGATGATCAAGTCAGAACAAACGAGCATCTTTCTCTCAAATACTCTTCCAGATATTTGCTTTAACTACTCCACATCATATTTTGCTAGTTCTCAATTGTGCAAAGAAGTTTTAAAATGAAAGTTTGGCATTTCGTACTAAGCGCTAATTCTCAAAGTTAGAATTAAAGTACTCGAGTCCTAATCTTCCTTGGCTAAACATTATTAGTTTGACTAGTCTCATATTCATGATTGAAAAGAAAACGCCAAACTGCTTCAAAGTTTGGGAATATAGTCACAAGACTGTCTTGTGAAGACATTACTCTGTATGAGACTTTTAAATCTTTTACAGGGGATATGGAAATAGACTCCATTATCTTGAAGAGTCCTGATGTTATTTTCTTTGACATATATACTAGAAGCAGTCGACTATTTCCATTGTATCGGCCAACTTAACGATAAATAACAGGACTTCAAGTACTGCCGGCAGTAGAGGTCAACTCTATTGTCAAGCAAAGTCGGGTGCGATCAGATTAGACCCGTCGCAAATACTAACACACGTTGGAACTTGACACAGGTCTCGAAGGTAGCTTGAGTTGAAACGTTCAAAGACCAACCCTGAACATGTCCCTCGCCTAACAGAAGCACGCGTGGAAATTAGTTGTGAAGGCAGTCACTACGAGTCCTACGGTGATGTAAAAAGTAGACGGTCTTACGTATCAAAGCCGAGATCGTAAAGTTTTCACATCTGTCGAGCTATAAAAGGGACAGCTCTCCGAAGTTTGGAAAATATTGTCCTCTCATTTGGGTCTGAGAACGAGCAGTTCAGGATCTGAGGCGTGTTTGAACATCCAGGAGCTGAGGAAGATATCAGATCTGCTGCTCTGAGCAATTCGTAGGACCAGTTATTACTCACCAAATCCTTGCGGCGGAGGAAAAAAAATCAAGGAGCACGATGAGTTCCATCTTCAATGCAGATTTTGGTAGTCTCAGCACTCAGCAGGTAGTCATTGCAGCAGTGACAGCGATATTTGGAATTTGGGTTTTGATAAATGTCATGCAAAAGAAGAAAAGACTCCCGCCCGGACCTCGAGGATTGCCCGTGATCGGACACCTTCACATGCTTGCCGGCTCTTCTCACCAGAATATGATGGACTTGGCAAAGAAGTATGGGCATATTTTATACCTGAAATTGGGCTCCCACCCAGCCATCTTCATTTCGTCCGTTGAGCTGGCGAAGGATGTTCTGAAAGACCAGGACCAGCATTTCGCCTCTCGTCGTCTCTTCATTACCGGCAAGATTCTAGCCTACGACAACCAATCAACGTCGCTGGCGCAATATGGAGAGAAATGGCGCTTCATGCGTAAAATCATCTCCCAGGAACTCGTTTCTGCAAAGCGCATCGAGCAAGCTCAGGTATGCCTCTAATCTCATGCAGATGCTACCTGCTTTCAATCGCTATATATTTTTTGTCGTCATGGGCATTAACGAGCATCAGGCAGATTTGTCCACTCGCATGGATCTTCCCCTTCCGACTGAAATTACTATAATGGGTGGCCTCAACCGTGGAGGATTCACAGCATACTTATTCTGTGCATCCCCACTTCCGTGGTTTAAGCACACTGGTGTAATGTTCAGAAGCCTAAGGGCAAGATAGGCAAGAACCAGAAAATAACTCCACAAAAGTGTCCTTTCGAAGACGCAGGGCAGTTTTTCCAAATCATCCATCGACGTCGAATTCTCTCGTCTGCAGCGCGATCTGAAATATCTTGAGTTCTATTCTTACATAAGTCGGTCAAGCTTGGTCCGTCTTTAAAAGCCTTTGTTGTCTCAGAGTCTTTAAATATTGGTCTGAGTCGTTACGAGTGTACGAGTGTTGCGAGATGTATAAACTTGCAGCGCTCGATTGATCACGGAGCTTGCAACATGGATGGAATCTGATGATATGGCTTCGCTGTGTCTGTTGCGATCTACAGCACATCAGAGTCGAGGAAGTGGCTAATACACTCGAGGAGATTCTGAACGAGGGTCAGGATGGGAAACTTGTAAATTTCGACATGAAGCTTGCACAGTTGGTTTTGAATCAAACCACTAGATTCAACTTCAGCAGGTCATATTATGGGAAAAAGCGTGACACAGTCGAAGATAACGCCGAAGAGTTTCAAGGTATCGTGAAGTTATTGGGTGGCACGCCGTTCTTCCTGGTAGGAGAGTTCTTCCCCTTCTTGTTGGCGTTCGATATCGGTGGTGTCGAAAAGAAAATGAGAGCACAGGGGGCAAAGGCTGATGAATTCTACACCAAAATTGTCGAAGGCCATCGACGTGATGAAGCCAAAAACGCCGACAAGCCCAAGGATTTCGTGGATGTAATGTTGGCTTATCAAAAAGATCCGAAGAACAACATTAACGATGGCCAAATCAAAGCTGCTATTCAGGTACGTGATATCTCGCTAGATGTACTTGCCAAGTTCATGGATCTCCAATGAATTGCATGCGCAGCCTTAAAAACAAACACCGTCAAGCGCGAGCTTAGTCACCTGCTCACACAGTCTCTTTCTGATTAATTGAAAACGAAGTTTTGATTAGTCAACACACGCTCTCATCTGACAGGATATTATCGTGGCGTCATCAAGCACGAGCTCAGCTTCCATGCTGTGGATTTTGGCGGAGCTTCTTAAACAGCCAGCTGTCATGCGGAAACTTCAGCAAGAACTAGACGACGTGGTCGGAAGGGACAGACTCGTCGAGGAGTCAGACATCGCCAACCTGCCATATCTGAAATGTATTGTGAAGGAGGTGTTCCGACTGCACCCGGTGCTGCCTCTGCTCGTTCCCCATTTCAACGAGGAGGAGAGGACTGTTGGCGGCTACGACATTCCTGCCAAGACTCTCGTCTTTGTCAACGTGTATGCGATCGGCAGAGACCCTACAATCTGGGAGGACCCCTTGCTCTTCAACCCTGACAGATTCATTGACAGCAAGATGGACGTAAAAGGTCAAAACTTCGAGCTTTTGCCTTTTGGCTCGGGTCGAAGAATGTGCGTGGGTTACAACTTGGGCCTGATCACTGTGGAATACGGCATAGCTCAGCTCTGCCATGCTCTAGAGATTTCTCTTCCCGAGGGTATGAGTCCCAAAGACATACGCATGACGGAATCTCCTGGAACATCAGTCACCAGAGAAGATCCTCTTCACGTCCGTGTTTCTCCCCGTCTACCCTCTCATGTTTACGCAAAGGCAGGAATAGAGCTCTCTTAAGCTCTAGCTCGACAGCACAGTCTTGATTGACAGTTTCACATTTCTAGATAGGCCAACAAGTATTCTCGAGCTTGGGCTTGCGGGGCAAGATTTTAAGGAAATCTTATAAGAGAGCACAAAATATTGTCGGGGGAAACATGAAATTCCGTAAATCTTTCGGCAATGTTTCATACATTTGAAGATCTTCAATTTTATTTGGTTGGGAGTTCAGGGAGGTTATCTCATCATTGCAATCTAGAGGATTTTACCAAACAATTCAATAACTTAGCTGTAGGATAGGTGATGAGACACGGGAGTATTTTTCTGTGCCAGTCGGCCATTTCCCATCAAAATCTCAATTCTGAAAGGTAATATGGAGATATTAGTTTCTAAAGTATGGATTATTAAACCGTTGTGTAGCCCAACTTAGTGAATAGACTATTTGACACGAACTTTGTGTTTGATTCTTCTACACGTCGTCTCGGTGTCAATGGTTGCTCGAAACACATATTATTGTCTACGTGGAGGTTGCTGCCCTCTGTAATTCCGGTCACCAATGTAGTCTTCCTCCGATTCGTCGAAAGAAAAAATCAACTTTCCGGTCAAGGTCTTGCAATCATCCGGAGATTTGTTGAGGAACTAACGATTTGAGGTGAATATCTTCATGGTTTCCTTACTCGCCAATTTGATAGCTGACCGACACTTGGGACTGATACGCACATTCGTCAGTACTCTATCCGACTGACGTTGAAAAAGTAGGTGATTTCTATCACGGGAGATAAGCAATGGCTCAGGATATTTCACGCTTTTCACAAGCTCTGGATCCATCCACCAATCTAAGTAAGCAATATCACCTTTCGAACAAAAGAAATACATTGGAATTTTTTAGACTTATTGACAAATTCAAGCATCACCAGTGGATACAATGGTTCAAATCTCAGCCAAGAGACCTCAGCTCTTGCAATGTTTGATTCCCCTTCCTCGCTGGTGATCACCACGCCACACACACCAGGGCTTGCCCCGACGAGCGCCGTCACTATTAGAGACTCAAACAAGGTATCGACCCTGACCATTGCGCACTGTGATGCCATCGGTTGTGGCATCGTTTCTTCATATGGAAGTTTCTTCACTCATGATTGTTTGGATATGTCAATTGCATCCATGGGCACCAACCATGTTCAGAAAAGGTTAGTCTTTATTCCTATTCGCGGGCGTTTTAGAAACCACATGCTTTCTGATTCTCTTTATTATGAGGGCCCGATTCAAACTTTCTGCAGCTCTTCTGAAGGGTCTGAAAGTGTTTTATCGATGAAGAATCGTGAGTTTAGTGAACGGCAGTCATGAGGTAGGTAGTATGAGCAAGTTTGGTGATATCCAAGAAGGGAAATTTTAAGTTCCGTGTCAGGCCATACTACCGACTGATGTCAAATCCACGTTGGTTCAAGCATCTACCAAAAGCTCCTTCAGTTTTTCGCTCTCAATAGAAAGTTTCTTGTCCCGATTTAGTTCTTTCAACATCAAAGAGGAAAACAGTCCCAAAGCTATACTAGTAGTTGACCAGTCTGCTTTCTACGTCAGATTCTAGCTCAATAATCCCATGATTTCTCTTAAAATTCATCCATTTGACGTTTGGGGCTGACATCATTTGAAATTTTGTTGACACAAGCCCAGAGAAATAAATTCTACAAAACATGCTTACCATAAAATCTGCAATATATAAGTAAAGACTGCGTGGAAGTCACTCAACAAACAAAACATCAGTAACTTTTGGTCAAGTAAGGCTATATGAGATTCGAACTGCATTCGAAATGGGTTTGTCGTTGTAAGAAATTATTTTAGGATACATACAGAACAGGTAGAATTATGAATAAAATCATTATAATTTTTTGTCTGAGAATTATTTAAATTTGATTATCATTCATTTCTCACCACCGCCTTGTTTTGTACATACTGAAATATGAAGTTGAATACCGCGAACAATACCGTATACAAATTTCCAACTGTTTACTCAGTATAGAAAACTATCTGAAATATATACGCCATAACAAGTCTATAGATGTTCATTTGTTGCCAAATTTTATTTGACAGTTTTCTGACTCTAAGCCCTGTACTATTCTGAGCTTCTCTCTCTCTCTCTCTCTCTCTCGAAATAAAGAAGTCAAGATATTAGTGTCCGACACCTATCTTAACAATTCAATCTTCATGGTGAAATAAGATTCAAAATGGTCTATCTGCATACAAAAAGAATGATTAAAAAAAAAATTGATGTTCACAAAGGAAGTGAAAATGATAAAGTAACGCCATCAAATTATTTTGCTAATATCCCAAGAAATGCATAAACCCTTTCAGTCAATTCTTGCATCAATATATGTTATTTCTTTTCGACACAAATGACATGTAGGGACATGTCACTTTTTCATTCTGGTTTCCATCTCGTAAAAATCAGTTCTCTATAGATGTTTAACTCTCTGAGCTTCATATCACTTCAATCACTTTTTTCTCATTTGTTTCGTGCGAATTATCAAAATCTAAGTACTCAACTTGATTCACATACTCCAAAAAAATTGTGAACCTTGTGGTAGGCCTTGTTGATGAATTATAAATATCAAAGTAGAATATTCCAAATCCATTCAACTCAAATATGATCTCTTGATGTTCCTTTTATCTAGCTCTTGACGAAATATATGACATCCTCTTATATTTTCTTGCCGCAAGCTTGAATTTTGGAATAATTTTCTCAATGCAAATTATCTACCACCAGACTGAATATCTGGAATACTGCGAGTGATTATGATGCAGAACAATGACAAAAACATCTTTTCTATCAAGTAGCTTCTTTTGGACTTCCGGTGTTAAAAAAGCATACCGCCATGATAGCAAATGATTTCCTCCTGAAACTTGATATTGACTATGTGAAAAATAGGGATATCAAGTGGATACAATACATGTTCTTCGAGTCATCCACAATTAGTCTCATTTTAGTGATCAAAATCTTGATTTTCATATATTTTTTCGATTGTATGTTTTGATTTCTTCGAAGTGTTGCATTTTTTGACATTATCTACCATAACTCGAATATGATGCAAACAAGAACTTCAAAACACTCATCTTAACTTCATATTTATTTATACAAACCCAAAGACATAAACTTAGTAAGCATTCGAGAATCGAATAATATTATGCATGATTCCAAAAGTAATAAGTGAACCTTGAATTGTATAGGTAGATAGAAGGAAAGTTGGAAATTATGAAAAGTACATTTAGCTTTCATATAAAGACGAGGAGTTTAAAAAAAAATCCTTGAGAGAGAGAACAGAAAAAGCTTGAGTAACTTGACGAGTACACTGAACACACAATAAGCTGAGGTAAAGTTCCAAAAGTTGAGTAGTCTAGATTAAAGAAAACTTCCACACTAAAATCATAGGAACTAGGAAGGATTTATAACTTCCACATATTACTTGACCTAGGAAGCCCCTACAAGAACTTTTACTCACGATTAGAAAGATTTTGGAGAAAGTTCTAGAACAAGAACTAGTGTGCTTCTATTAGAACTTCCTTGGACCTCAAAAGTGGTTACACCAAAATAAAATAGTACCTTCGGATGTACCTTTTAGAGTTACTACGCGGGGTTATTCGAGATGTCAAGAATATATATAAAGCCTCAAACTCGGGGATATAAAAATGTTCCTGGAGAAAATACAATCGGGAGCTGGTCCCAAAGCAATAGGAAGCGTGATACGAAATATGCCCAACTGGATAAGAATCGAAAGCCAAAGCTGCCAAGAAAGTTGAGAAATTGATTTTGTCTTATCTACACTTGACTAAGATAGTCAAGAATATCATATTGATAAAATGATGAGCTGAGGGACAGCTATTTCCCAGGTTGAACAGCGAAAGTAGCTAATTCATGGAGTTGATTCAGGCAATGGATTTGGTAGCTCAAGGTAAGAATTAAGTTAGAACCAGCTCGACATTATATTACATTATAAAAACCATTGATAATAAGTTCACCAAAGATGGTCTCACTTGCATAAGTTGGGCTATGGTGTTGTTGATTCATACAATACTGCTGCCTTTGAATTCAGCACATTTTCTGGGCTATCAGTACCGTGACTGTCCAAAGTACAAACAGAAGTGTAACTCACCATCATGAATCTCAACACAATTTGCCATTAGATTCCCTTGGCAACAGATATTTCATTTACTCCAACGGGAAACACTCACAAAGTTTGTGTGTTTCGAGAGGAGAAGATGTCCCTAAATGGAAAAAATCATGTTTTAAGTAGCTTCTATTTTGACAAAACATTACAATACAGATAACACACACGTTTGAAGCATCATATCCACACATGCAGGGCACATCTCTATAAACCATGGAAACGAAGAATTTGGGCTCCTTATATATATGTCCACCCTTAAAGGGAATATGAGGCATACTCAGCCAAGATTTCAAAAGCCATTAGTGTCAACGATGAAGAAAGAGTTCTGATAATTAAAGTAATCAGCGAATTGCTGTTGCTGTAGGTTGGTGGTTATTGAAGTAAACTAATTATTTACAACTTCGTCATCTTCCTTGTCTGCTTTGCTAGTTCTTCCTCCACTTTCGCCAGCATCGCTGAGTCTTGCAATTGACGTGCTTGGCCGAGCTGATGAGACTGCCTGTCATTCAAATAACCAGCAAATTCTTCCGCATGCTGACGACAATGCTATTTGTCATCTTCTCCGTGAAAAGACGAGGGTAGATTCAGCTGAGACTGAAATGTAGATGAAGAAAAGAGACACAGAAGTTTTCGAAAACCTGCTACTGCCTCTAGACAGTCTCAGTTTCTGAGTCCTGGATTTTAAGAACGATTCATCGCCTTAAGATACTCATTCTATCGCATCTATGACCTGTTATCGATTCAGCGGATTTGATTCGACCGAAGTCGACGGTATATATCTCACCTATCAAGTGGATGAAGATACATCAGATATATTTTTTTAGTTGTATGTGTGTTGAATACGCACCACGAGCTTGGATTCTGGATTCTGAAAAGCCCTTCCACGATGTGCGGCGGATCGATAAAATCAGTCACTGAACGTGCACTCCACCATGACCAGCGTCTTCTCTGCTCTGCTGTCGCTTCGGCTAATGATTCGAAGAACACGATAAGGTGGTAGTATCTCATGGGTCTCAGGCAGCAGGCGATATTCAGTTCAGGATTTTCCCACATATTGCCGTTCAGGTCCAGGTGAGGGAGGAAACGCCGCACTTGCAAAATCTGAGTTAATTCGGTGGATTACATAACACACATTAAGCTACGACTCCCTCCCACAGAACACTGGTATCTGGAAGCTAGTCATCACGTTGCGTCACGAAGCGTCAAGTTGTTCTCGCTCTGTGAACACACGATTTGGCTGTGAGCAGGAGAATTATTTGGCAAGGAGGAGGAGGAGGAATGCTAAAGTACTTCAGCGCGATCCAGCTTGAGCGTTGAGGGGCTCACAGCTCGAGCGAGATTCGTGATCACAGCATCAGCATGAACGACGATGGAGTGTTGATCAAGACCGAATGCCGGGAAGACTGGTAGAGATTGATGAACCCTCGCATGAGCCTTTTCTGTTTCTGCTTCTTAATGAGATGACTTCCGAAGAGTTCGTGGGATCCAAAGAGGTCATGGATTCTCTTTGACGCCTCCTCCTGATCGCTCATCTCCACAAACCTATCCAACTTAGGACGAGAGGCTAAAAGCCCTGAACCTGTGACCTCTGATCAGAATTTTAAATTGCAGGATAAATCTCCTGTCGTCAAACGCAAAACAGAGGACTCGGACACGCTGGAATCCGGACTCACCGAAAAAGAACTCCTCGTGCAGATGCCTATTTCACGAGATACTCATCACGAAGCTCACAATTGACTACTTCCTCCGCATTTCCCTTCTAAATGAGCATTCAGATAACAACGAATGGCTTATCCAAGCGTCACCACATCTTCACCTGCTTTACACACCTGCTTTCTAATCTCAGATATCCGCCAGGAGTCGGCCTGCAATGAATTCTCCATTAATGGCATAAGGATGCGAAGAGGCATTCAGTCAACGAGGGGAAGAAGACTGAGGTCGGGAAGGTTCGACCTTTGGGATGGCGTGTGTTCGTTGGACTTTTTAATTCCCAGATACGCAGAGCGAGGAAGTTCTGCTAGCGAGCCTGGTCATGGCCTGCAAGCCAGGCGGAGTGAGCGGGAGTTTAGGTTTCCGCGAGCAATTAGTAGTAGTAGCACTACCTGGTCAGTGGAATCAGTCCAAATCCCCGTCCGAGGCCGTGCTGCTCTGAGTTGGTCTAGTCGGAAGGAGCTAGGCCGGCTGGGGAGCTGGTTTCGGTGGACGAGCGAGCACCCACTCCCCCATTCTGGATCGAGGATCTGAAATGGATCTGTCATGTTGAAGTAGGGCAAATTAGAGCTTGAACGCAGTAGATCGGGCTGACAATATTTCCGCACATTGCAACGCAGAAGGGATAGCCGCATTTGAAATCCGACAAGATTCAGCAATTTGGGGTCCAAGGTCAGCTAGGAGATTCTGGATGGTGCACATCCTGTCGAGCGGGATTCAACCTTGTAATTCGTCGACGTGACCAGTTTTTTCCGACCTTACAATAGGTACGAGTGCTGGTGGCTACTTACTACTACCACTGCTGCAGAGAATATGGTTTTGCTGAATGATCTGGAGTGCTAAGATCCATCAATTTATCCACTCATCAATCAAATCCTGTCGTTTTGACATGGAGAACAATTCGATCCTGAGATGTCCTTCGATCAAGCACATGCTAGTTTTTCGGCTACGCTGCGCCCAGGGCTTGGAGTCTCCAGAATTTACTTTGTAGCGTTAACAATTAAATGCACGCGGAGATTGGAAGACTGATGTGCTTGAGCGGATCGATGCCATGAGTACTCTGTGCAGACGAGATGAGATAGTTTGTTGACAGAAGATTACGAGTATAACGAGGAGGATTGCAGATCCCTTGAGCTGCGGCTGATCAATTGTTGAAAGTTTATGCTCACCGCCACAAAATTTCCATTTAGTGGAGCCAGTAAAATGAGGCCTTCCAGTGGAGGCTCATCTTGAAATTGACCGTCTTACTGAATTTCATAGCTCTGCATAAAGCTGTGATCTACAGGTCGGTTTTGCTCGATGGAGGTCATAAAGGTCAGAATGTCCAAAGGACAGAACGCATTGGCTGTCACACATCAAACTTTGGCGGAGTTCCATAGCCTGATCAAATCGGCCCGGTTCCACTTGGAATCCTCATCCGTCGTGCTGCATCCACTGATCCGGGCTCCCGTGCTGGGAGTGGCAGACACGGCGTACTGGACGGTGATGTTAATGGCAGGGCTCGTCGTCGTCGCCGTGTTCTGCCTGGTCTTGTTGTTCCTCGCCTTGGTACTCTTGGTTCCCTGCACATTCGTCTTCATCAAGGTGATCAACTACGTTCCATCCGATGAACAAACTTACGAAGATAATGTGGTCGGCACATCCATCGCCCTGAGCAGCGTCGCCTTTCCCCTCCTCATGTCTGCCATTGCCAATCTCGTCTACCTCAAGTACCCACATTTGGAACAATTGGAGTTTATGGCCGGATTTTACGACCCACTCCCTCTGACATTGCAGATGCTTGTGTCGTATGGTCTCCTGGAGCTGGGCCTGGTGGCCCTCGTGCTCTTAACCTTCGACTTCTGCGTCGTGATGTACTGGGGTGGCTTTGCGATGACTTCGGTCCTGCAATTCGGAATTGAGGTGCTCTGGCAAATGCCTTGGTATCTCTTGGTGGCGGCTGCCGTCCCGCTCTCGTTCCTGGCCGTAGTCTTGTACCGCAAGTGCAAGCGGTTGTTCGAGCTCGAGGTTGTGGACGAAGAGCGTCCAGAGGAATTCTGGTTTGGATCGGAGGAGAATGACACGCAAGCCCTGCAGCATGAAGGCATGATCCATTCCACAATGGTTTAAAATGTTCATCCTTTGGAATGCTATGAAACTCTCTTATTGTGTACATAGTTCCCCTGCTCCTAGTCCCTTGAAGCATCGACCGATGTACCTCCCTCTGTTCATGCCATGAATTCGGCTCCTCTCATCTATGTGGACACTGAGTGTATGTATTCTGTGCTCGGATTCTGATGTGTAGCCCGACTTGTCAATTCGCCTGTGCCGAACTCTTATCATAAGTGGTACGAGAACTTCTGGGCTTCCACTCATACACCTAGCCTCGGAGACCGCCTTTTGGGAAGACGGGATCTCCAAGATTAGAGCTCCGGTTGGCTGCAAAATTGATGTATACTCTATTTGTTGTTGGATTGAAAAGGCAATCCACTTTAGGAAATCAGCTCCCATTTGGTGACTCGATCAGTTGAAGTGATGCGGCTGAGGAGACTCTGAAATGTAAATAGGCTCGTAAAAGTACTCGAGAAAAGAAAGAAAAGAGATAAGAATCTACTGGGAGCAATAAATCCCGTTGGTAGTGATAAAGGTGCCATGAGACCAGATTGGAACCTTCCTTTAAGACTAGCATTCTTCAGGATGCTCATGATTGATGAATGATCGTTTTGGCTCTCTTCTACTCCTCCACTTCTCATTTATGCGTAATGTCAGGCTCCCAAGCTTCTGGTGACTGATATTCAATGGCAGTACACTTCTGTATTACTCTTTCTCCACTTTTCCATCTGTATCAATTCAAGAACTGGGCGATTGTAACATCTCTGATATCACGTGGATGACTTCTTTTGGTTCGATTCGCATCTGCAAGTCCGATCTTCTAATTCATTGTACTGTCTGATGCGAACACCTCCGATTACAGAGTAAGGGCGGTATAGACAGCAGATGTAAAAACAAAAATCTTCCAACCCCCGTATAAATACGCGCTTTTCAACGCAGCTCAATCACCAGCATATCTCGTACCGAAACTAAGAGAGCTTGCTTTTCGACCAGTTGTGAATGAATGAAAGCTATATTCAAGAAGCCAAGAAGTTGTCCACGCAGGAGACTAGGATTGTTTCACCGGCTTGCCGGAAGATGCCAAACGCTATTGAAGCCCTCTGGAAGTCCACGAGGTCCATCTGCTCGTCTGGATTCTAAATGAGGTGATCTGAGAAGCTGGAAGGGGAAGAAGCTGTTGTTCCAAAAAGGTGATGCTTAGAAACTGATCAAAGTAGCAACCATGGAATGTTGCCAATACAGAGGATTCTGCTAAGGTACATTGAATCCAAAAAGTCGTGAAGGCTGCCTCCAAAATCTCCAGGATGAGCATGTTTCTCACTGGTGTAAATTGGAGTCAGACAAGCACTGAACATTGAAACGAATGTGGGGATCTTAAAAAGTTTGGAACAGAACCGCCACATCTACGCTGATGCTTCAGTTCCCGAGAAGAAGGATCACGTCTTTCGGTCTTCCCTGTTACATTAATGGCGGAACCTTCAAGACACCTCCAACAGTGTTCGTAGAAGCGACTGGTTATAACTCTTCCAACATTTATTGCAAGGTCAGCAGAATCTGAGTTTCTCGTTGATTACATCTAGTGAGTAGAAAATGAATCCTGAATAAAAAGCACATCCAACTTCCTCTATTTCCTTCTCAAGTACTCCACCTTCCTAACATCCTGGTCCTTCTTTCCTCAAGACACCGCTAGACCAATGTACAGTAGGTGGTCGCAGATCCAACGTAAGTCCTAGATCCAAGGTTTGTAAGATGTTCCTTACACGCCAATCTGGACAGCGAGGTGTCCGTGCTGGATTCCTGCACTTGTTGTATTGGTGATTTTGGAGGTCATTCCACTTCTGTTCCAAATCTTCACTCGGTGATTCTCTTGTAGTCTTGCATGGACGTGCAAGTGAAAGTGTCACCAAGTGTTCAAAAGGCCGGGGGTGTTTCCCGTGCTTGGCTTCAATGATAGAATTTAGTATCAAGGATAGTTGGCTGAATAGATATGGAGAGACAAGTACGACTTGTAACACGTGACAATTGTGACTGTCGGTCGGGAATGAGTATAAAGCCAGGTACAAGAAGATATATAAATCCCTCCAGAAGAAAGGAGTCAGGTTGAATGGTCACGTTTCGAAGCGTCGGATGACCTTATTGAGACATTGGATTCCGGACCCTTTTTGAGAACGTGTCTTATCCTTTCAGTTTTTGGTATAAATCTTCACACGACCCATCCCATAGACTGCCGGCACTTGTTTTTTATTCATATTTAATTACCTTACATAAGCGATTTAGAATGTCTTTTAGGTCGGAAAGTACAATTCGTCTCAAGACACGTGTATCCTTCCTTAGCATCGAAAGGGAGAACAAACTCTAGATTTCTTATTGTGTTGCATTGCACAAACATTGAGCAAGCCTTTAATCAGAACGCAGTTATTTAAGCTCAAAAGGCCTTTGAAAATATAATGTATCAAGACTTAGTTTCCCTGATATAACTAAAAACTGATGTACTTGGAAATGATCACATTTTTCCTGCACCTAGTAGAAACTTCAATTTATGTAGCAATTTAATAAAATTTTGTTCCCAGGACTAATTTGAAATACTGGACCCAGAGAAGAGCTTTTGTTAAAAGGAAAACCGGTTAGCTTGTGGGTTTGCTGGTTCCATCGTCCAACGATCCAAATGCAGATGTCGAAGCTTGGGTTATCCATTAAAAATCAAAGGGTTCTCCAGGGACAAATGCGATCTGTCAGATGTTCCAGGTCTGTGATACAGTTTGTCCATGTCGTTGTTAAGGGATTTGGTCTTAGCATTGACACCGGGCAAATGCAGGTGAAACAAAAGAAACACATGCAGTATCTCCAGGAAAGTATGCACCCGAGAAGTTCATTGCACGTTTGCTCAGAGTTCCAGGTCTCCTTCTGACGTGGTGAATAATTGGACAAAGTGAATTTGCTGTAGCTCCGAGAGGCATGTGATCAGTGTTTAGGTGTACAGAAGTCAGTAGTATTCTGTTTTCTTTCAGATCACGAAGTTCTCATTTGCATGAGTCGTGGCATGTGCTCTTCTGTTTGACACACGAGTGCTGCAGTAAAGTCTATATCAGTGACACTAATCAATATAATGTGGCTAGAGTGATAATCTTGGTGTGGGCCTGTCCATCGACAATCCATCTGCAGACAGAACTGAAGCTCTTCGGCCTCATCTGTGTGTTTGACCGAGGATCCACAACCTATTTAGATTTGAGGTTGGAGAAAAGTTGAGCCTCGAGGCTTTGACAGTATTTATGGACCCCACTCGTGTGTTTGGAGTACTTGTACATAATTAACATAAAGTTTACTATCACGCCAGTCTTCTTACACCTGTTTCTTGAAGTATCGCCAAAGAGAAGCACACTCTGTCCGTGGGAGGTGCTTTCTGTTGCTGTGGAATGTTCGATACGGTTAAAGATGAAAGAAATCTAGCCTCGTATCCAAACCACACGAGTCCAGATGTGTGCCCAAGCCGCCCCTTGGACGGACAAGAATATACAAAAAGCAGAATTCCAAAGTTTGTCAATGGCAAGTAAGGTGTTCCGTTTAACTACGGTTGTAGTTCTGGTAGCTCCAAATGAGGTGATCCGAAATATATTGACCCCAAAAATAAATTATCGACTGTTATCGTCATAGGCAGTGAATGAAACCGTATTGACGGATCATTGACCACCAAAGATCCAGACTTAGTGGACATCCTCTCGTCACTGCAAGAAACCAACGATGAAAACAAGCTGGCCGATAACCGATAACCAATCTAGTGACTCTAGACCTGCATAACTTACGTAGTAGCCAACGTACATGTATGCCATAACTGTCATTGAACGATACTGCTTCATTCCTTCTGCTAGGTCAAAACGTAATGTGATTGTTCTAAGCCAAGGAAGCTCAGGATGATGATTCTGATGCTCAGAATTCTCAGTACCATTACGAACAGCAATCAGTCCGAAAGACTTGTGACCTCTCTGTATAAAGACAATCAGTGTAGATCAAGTACTTTTATTCGTAGTATGGTGAAAGCTAGAGCTGATACAAGTAGTACTATTCACTAGGATTGTTGCTATTGGTGTTTTGATGCTGTACTGACATTTTGCCATTTGTGTCCCATGGTCCCTTCGGGTCTTACAAGGACGTGGAGTAGTTCGTTCTTTCTTAGCCTCACACGTAATTCCATGTCTGATTGACAGGGTTTAATAGTCGCCAGTACATACAACGGGGCAACTAAGCTCGTCTGGACTTGTACAGAGATCATGAGCAATACAGATGTACTGGAAAAATTTCAGAAGGACTTAGATTCTTTGGCCGGACGGGGACGCTTGGTGCAAGAATCTGATCTCGTTACCATGAAGCCCCTTGAAGCTTTGTTGAAAGAATCTTTCGTTTGCACCCAGGTGCAGCAATAGGGGGGTCCCATTTTTGGTTCTGGCGATCAAAGTTGCTGCTTACGACATCCATCCAGGACAAGAGTATTTGTGAGTTATGGGGGATGGTGAGAGACGCGTCAGTGTAGAATAATTCTCTCGTTCTCATCTCGCTACGATTCTAAATAGCTCCATCGAATGTCAAAGAACAGCACTTTCAGCTTTTAACAAGAAATATGGTCATTCGAAGATATCGCTTGTCCTTTACCGTTGGACTTTGTCCAGTTGCATCCTCAGCATTGAGAAACTTGCACTCTTCCTGGGGATCAAATCCACTCAAGGCATCAAATTGTAAGAAGACTGGTTAACTTAAGCTTTAAATTACTATATTTACAATCTTCGGTTACTCTTTTGCAATCGCACAAACTGAAGATCCCGTAGACTTATTCTACGTTTATAAATATATAACAAAATAGATTTCAAGAGTTGCAGCCTGCAACCTATACGTCTAAGTCTGCAAACTAATGAGCTGTTGACCAAAGATCTTCTTGATTAGTGCTGTCATCGTGATATGTAAAACATGCACCTCCTTAGCAATCGCCACCAAATGTTGCTTCAAATCTTTTCAAAGGTTTGTTTTCATACTTCAATGCAGGTTCCACTTGTGTTTGATCTGCTTCAGATACCAGACTCAGTGAAGTGAATAACATACCTAGTTTTGATTATGTAAGTATGTGATCCGTTGAGATTCACAGGCGTCTTAGCAGTCTAGCGTCCTGACTGGTGAGACTTGTTTTCAGCAAGTCGGAGGATCAGATGGTGTCACAGTTCGAAAACTGAAAATTCGAATTCAGTGCTGAATAGTTCGCTTTGGTGCTCGAATGGAATGGATCGGAAGATTAAAGATCAAGAAGGGACCAAAGGATGCACATTGTGCTCATGCTCTTGTCACTGAGCTGGTACCATCTTCAAAGGCTGGACTACATGTGATTGCTCTCCCGAGTATCTGACGAAGCTCTTTTTGAATCAGACGGAATCAATTCTTCCCTTGGAGTTGATGTCATGGCTATAACCTTACAGTATCTTGTCTTCCTTACTTAGAGGCGAGAAGTGAAAGATTTAACACATAATGCAATTGATCTCATCTGAAATAAATACATTGAGAACCCCCACTTATTCTCAAGTGGGGGTTGTAAAAAAATATGCTGTGCAACATTGCGACGTATCTGGATGATGTGAGGACATCACTTGCTTGCGTCCTTGCTTGCATCACTTGAGCTTGCGGCGATGACATAGAAGATCTCAATTCAACGGTGGCACCGTTTGAGGAAGCACGGGTCTCCCTGTGGAAATCAAGAGATCGTTGAACTGAAATTTTTGGCTTAAGGTAGCCAGTGGTTCCTGTTCCTGTTCCTGCCTCGGAAATAAACGCTAAGTTCCACACGAAGGATTGAAATCGAGATTTTCTGCTAATAATGAAGTCTGGCCAAGCTTGTACGCAACATAAAATACACAATGCAATAATTTGTGTCCAAAAAATTGAACTACGAGAGAAAATTTTCAACAGAAAGAGTTGAGCAGTGCAAATACAGCCAAGTGTGATCACCAGCCATATGTAATCATTCCCATCTGTTAACCGCAAACGGTGAGTCTAAGTGTTCCACTCTTTGCAGTATCTATCTTACAGGCATCTTCGACAATTCAACATGCTGATGAACGTACTCACTGGCTGAATCTAAGTGAACAGACTTACATTCAGAGAGGCTACACAGGTAACTGGTTTCTATAACGGAACAGCTAAGATAAGCTGTTCGATGATGAACAGAGATTAACACTTCTCATTGTTTCAAATGTTAAATACGACATAGCTTTTGCTGCATGATATATATGCGCAACAAAAATTACAGTGGATCTGCTGCTACAATCCAAAAGTACGCAACTATTAGCATCATTGGGTAGGAACCATAACATCTGGAAACTTTCTCCGTAAAATCTTGAAGTGACAAGAAATTCCCAAAACGATCGATCACCTAAACCAATGTATGCAAAGCATTTCAGAATGTACAGAGCAATACAGCAGCAGAAGCAGCCAGAGGGTAACAAGTTCGTGAATCTACTCTTCATGAACTTGATTCTGTCTAGCCACAGCCACCACATCCTCCACAGCCTCCGCCTCCACCACAGCCTCCGCCATCGCCATCACCACTATCTCCACCCCCATCACCACCACCACTGTCGCCAGACCATCCGGATGAAGCAACCTCGTTCCCCCCACAAGCTGTGCCCGCACATGCTGCGGGCTCGCACTGGGCACCGGCCAGGCCTTGGTCGTTGTTAAAACTTACGCTGATTTCGTCCCAAGGGATGTACAGAGTACTATTTTTCTTCTCGGGCTCCTCATCCGATGGATCAGGATGATTAAACTGTGGAGAGAACTGATTCTTTTTCAGCTTGACCGCTCCTGCAATCCAACAAAAATTCATGGTCTAAGTTAGAAAAGTGAGACTGCTGTCTGCTTGGAGTCTGGACCAGCTCGCATCATCTGCCTAAGATAGGCGTACTAGAGTCGAACGCCTTAACTGCGCTTCAAAGAGTCTTGGTTTTCAGGTTCGAAAAGAGAAACTTCTGTATAATAGTTGGAAGCAAGGGGGTTGAAAGTTTTACGTTCAATTGAAGTTCATTGATACACAAGAAGAAGACGAAGGTAACAAATTTTGTGAGTAATTTCTGCCTGCTGAGACGAGACTTGCTCACCTAATTCACCGTCGGATTTTCCACGGAGTAGACTTTTGTAGCTCTTCTTGACACTCCAATCTGCGCTCTTCTTGAGAGGAGTTCCAAACTCTTTTAAGGACATGGTCACCGCAGAAAAAATCAGAAGCACCAATATTGTGCTTTCTTCCGGCTTAACCTGGAGTATCAGAGGAAATTTGATACGAATGATGAAGTGGATAGGAAGCTTCTTCGAACAGGTATGAAGGAAATGTGGTCTAGGAATGGATATTTCGCATACTGTCTTGAAACTGAAGCCAGGGCAGCTAGAGGTCAATTCCAATTGAGGTAAAACACTGCGGTGTAAGTAGAAACAATGTATTTACGTCCATGTTCCAGACTCATAAAACGATTCATCTTACACTTCTTACCTCGAAGCAAGCTTTGGTCACGTTCAGAAGAGCTGTGGCTGTGCCCGTGGGAGCCTCCGGTGTATATCGCATGAGAGTTAGATACCTGTTCGTAGATACGTCATTGGCGACAGCGTACTCCAGTCTCCTGCCTGGGAGTAACCTCACCTAAAACCACCGTAACAAAGCAAACCATGTACAATTAGCGGAGGCAAGGAAGAAAACGCATCTATCGACATTCCTCTTCATATCAGAGTGATTGTGACGTAGGTGGCTAGAACAAATCTAAGCATCTGAGAATTACATGCGGTTCGAGATGAAATGAATCACTTGGATTAGACTTGGAGTTTGAAGTGCACCAAGCTTCTTACCCGGTTTGGACCTAATAGACCGTATAGCTCACAGGTTACATCCTTCGTTGTTTTCGAGGGCTTATACACAGTCAGAATCGCTCCGTCATTGAAGAGATTCCACTCTCGTATATCCTTGTTCCGTTTGTGGTACTCCGTTACGAGAAGGCGGCATTCGGCCAGGCCTCTACCTGCTTCTGTGTCATCCATTCTGGGCCAAGATGGTTGTTTACCTAACCACCACGGACCAATAAACTTTGTGAGCTTGGAATGCCATTGAGCTCCAACGCGGGATAGGCAAGATGAATGTGTGAAGTCATGACCCTATATCGTGCATTCCTATATAAACCCTAAAGCCTGCTGTATCAGAGTGAATGGAATTCCTCCAACCTCTGTTGTAATCCTTATTCTAGAATGGTCTGCAGTGGGTGTTTACAAAGCTCAGTGTCAAATCAGCTCCTTACCTGCATTCGGATCTTCTACTACTTCATGTACGAATATATGGGATTTTTCTTCACATCCTACCGAGGAAGCCTTCCGGGTCAGGAGACCCTTTTCTAAACTGCGTAAGAATTCAAGAATGTACCAGGGGCAACAGAATCAATCAGTATCTGAAAGCCTGAGAGAAGTCGTCAGAGCAAGAGGGTGGGCATCAACAGCGTGCAAGAAGATTCAAGTTGCAGCTTCAAAGCGAACATTGTAAGGACTCTGACTAGAAGCAGTAGTCAGATATGCCGAGTCACGAACCTCTGTCGAATTTTGTAGATGGGCTTGCCATTGTGATTCACTACTGTCTTCGTCGTCCAACGTCCTTGCTGAGGAACAGCACCTTTTTCAATAGATAGAGATACCTTGTTGTGGTTGTCGTCCGTCACAGGCGAATGCAGTGCGCGGAACAATTTCGGTGCCGGCAGAAATTTTGTTGCAGATATGCAAAACTCAATTTCAGCATTTGAAATGTCGAGAGATTTGGATATCCTTTTCGACCCATGAATATCGACTTCAGCCCAATAGATGCAAACCGTGCCCACGCTCGTGACAATTGGTTGCGAGTTCAAGTATGTGCTTGCACCCACTTGAGATTTCTTTCTCGAACCCCGAAAGAAACATCCAGCCTTCGTTTTGCCTTGCTGGCGTTTCACCGAGATTATGCGCAGTAGCTCGAGCTGCAAACCTTTCGTTCCCTGTTCAGCTTCCATCGCAATGCCATGATTCCACTCCACTTCATTCTTGTCAGAAGCTTCCTTTTTTTCTGTGTGGACGCTCAAGGACGGGCATTTCTCCAAGGCGGTCACCCGAACCTGGAATGTCCATTTATGGTGTTCCGGCGGTTCAGGGAGATTTTTAGCGCTCAAAATCACCAGGTGCACCTACAAACGTAGCCATCTTTTAGTTCAGTGAAATCTCAATCAATGACGCAAATTAATTAGTTGTTATAACTTCGTCTACTGCAGCGCACGGCGAGCTAAGCATGAGGTAAGTAGTGAGTGCGTGCAACCAACAGTCTTCGTCACCAATGCCCAATTCAGCCTAAATGGCTGACGATTTGGCAAACAGTTATAGCAATAATCAGTAATCGGATCCATCCTCGAGCACACAACCTTTCGAACCTTGGAATTATAGCTGACCTTTACTGTTCGGATCCATGAATCAATTCTCGACCAATTTTGAATGCAGTTAATGAAATGAAAGGTCTCAATGTCGGTAGCAAGAGCCTGGACTCCCACCTGGCAGGTCGATCTCGCGTTCTCGGCCCGTGTCTGTTCAGCATCAGTCTTCATAAGACTGTCATAGTAAGAAGAATTCCACCTTCCATATTTCGTGTTCTCTAAAATTGTCCTATCCCTTGTCATAGCCCAACCGTCCGTCGTCGTGGATTTAGCAGGAGCACCCCTCATCGGTGGATCGGGTCCCCTGTGCATCGCTCCCGCTCGCTCGTACACGAACCCGAAAGTAGCCCACCACCTGTTGCATGAGTCGAGATAGCCATTGTTAAGCTTCTTGCCCGCTCCTCGATCGGTGTCGGTGTCATCATGGTCCAGGATTCTGCCGATCAGACTCGTTGTGTCTCGAGCGTATGCGCTCGGGTGCAGCTGGTGAGTGTGCCATATGAGGTCGATGTCGTACGTCGGAACCAGGAAAACTGGAGGATCGTTTTCTTTCCTCGACTGCAAAGCTTGTTGGATCATGTAAAGGTATCCTCTATATCTTCGGACGCCGTCTTGCAGGAATTCATCGTCCTTGAACCAGCTCCTTTGAACCTTGAAAACCACAACCGATCCAAGATTTGTGACCAACGAAGTCAGTCAAGACTTCCCGAGCAATCCAGCCAACTCCGCAGTCGATTCGGTCGATCGTTCATTCTAATTCCATATACCTCAGGCTTCACAATTAGACGAGTCTTTGGAAGAGAATGAATCTGTGAGCACGATGAAGGTCATGGAACACACGTCTTCAAGGGCCTAGAACTTCCTGAGGCCATTCGACACGAGAATCAAGGGGGACAGGATTCTTCAAGGGACGCTCAGTCTAAATCTTGCAGAATTTGGGTCCTGCTGGCCATTACTTAAATTTTCATGGGGCAAAAGGAAGGTAACATTATAATCATCGAAGAGAATGGTGATGTGTGTCGCACACGCACCTGAAAGAAGAAAGGTCGCTGTCTTTCAGCTGCGGCGACGAGGTCGTATGACTGCATGGGAGATAAAGGCCTGAGCTTAGCACACTGGATTTCAAGGACTTTTTTATATTCATCACTTAGGCCTTCCTCGTAGGGCAGAATCAAATGGTATTGCTCGCCCGGGTACTCAGTGTTCCAAAATTCCGCCGAAGCTTGTTGTGAGTCGGCCTCCGTGGAGTATGCATCGGGGACGGTTCTGATGTCGATGACCTTCCCAAAAATCGTTCTGCAGTCCTTTGCGTACCGCACCTGCAATCATTGAAAGAATTAGAAATGAGATCCTGAAATTCCCAGAGCATGGACATTGATTGCACTGAAGGAAGATCTTCGTCAGTTTGCAATTCGAGTTCGAGAGATGTCGTACCGGGCTGAGCTTGTGGCAATGCCAGATCCATGCGCAATCCAACGGCGGCAACAAGCAAGCGCCGGTCGTCCCGTAATACTTGCCGGGGAATCCATAGGCCTGGAACTTCGATGCCAGTGGCAGCCAGTAGTTCCAGTACCTACAGCGACAGACAGTGCACAATCTTCAGTCGAAACACAAGATGTGACATTGGCCTTAAAACCGAGCGAGCAAACTCGAATTCCACCACATCAACCTGAAGTGCTAGTAAAACAATTCGCCTACCTGTACACTGCACATGTCAAAAGTTCAGGTTGTTGGAGTGCCGCAGTCCGGTCTACAACCTCGAGGAACCGAAGCTGCCTCTTCGCCGCTTCAACTAAGTCAATGTTGATATGACACCAGACGGGAGATTGAGCTGTGTTCCATGCAGTCTGCGGAATATGCCTCTTCGCCGCTTCAACTAAGTCAGCGTTGAAATGAGAATAGACGGGAGATTGAGCTGTGTTCCATGCAGTCTGCCCGTGATAGAGGTCAACTGTATTCGTCGAGGACATGGCCAATTTTTTTACATGCAGGCCGGCACCTCTAGTCTTCTCGTAGCCCGCCGCCTTCGTCGATTCAAACACGAACCAGAAGTTGATTTTACTAGATGAAGCTCGTTGCTCACAAATGACAACGCCGTAGACTTTTTTTTGTGTGTTTATGAAATCATCCGAATTCCGACCGATTCAGCAGCTTTCAGAGTGCAGCTCGCAGCGTTACAGCAGGTGCGTACGCACCTGCTGATACGTCAGAGATTGTCAACAGAATCTAAATTTTATTTTCTTGCAACGCACATTCTGTCACTGAGATGACAATGAAGACTGATCGGTCGGCTGATATCTAGACCTCGAGTGTGCACATGAATCTCGAATTTGTACTGCATCGAAAGGAGGGAACTTCTTCGTGACGCTCCACGGTCCGCATTGAGTTTGGATCGGAGGGTTCCTTCGTGGAACGAAAAGCCCAAGTGTGCCGCAAGGAAGGGACAAATATCATATTCCATATCTCACACGAAACGTCGGATCCGCAGGACGACCCGGAGATTATTCAGTGATCGATACAAATAGATAGTTCCAGAGGAGAGTTGAAATTCGAGGCACATCCTCAAAATGATTCAGTAAACTTTTGGAAACTCCAGTGTCTCTTCTCGATCGGTTATGGAAGTCCATCCTACCGACAACATCCAGGTAATGAAGTCTACAGACCGCTTCACACGATATGTCAGCTTGTATCCAGCATCGGGCTACGCGTTGCCAGGTACAGATGGTATCTCTGTACACGGAGAAATTGGTGGTATATTGTACTGTGTTGACTTTTAACAGATTCTCGGCCAGACATTCCTTCCGCGCATCTTCGTGATTCTTCTTGTCGTTTCTCGCCTCCTGGGATGAGTTCATTGTGGCTCAGGCTCGAGCTCATGCCAAGCAGCAGGAGCCACCACGCTCAATATCAGAAAACATCATCCACTTGAGTCACCTTGGCATGATATCTTTGACTTTCGTGTCTCCTGAACGAAGTTTTCGGAGCATATCCCTCACTTTCATTCGTCTAAGAGGGCTTTGTTTACTCTTTGTCCAATGAATATATGCGTTATGAGAGGATTTTTCTCGAAACTATGAATATCAACAAAGGTAAAGTGGCTATAATATACACTTCAACTGTATTAAGTGGTCCACACTCATTTATCTCAGACTCTATCACTCGAGAGTGCATTGACTTTGAAAGAGTGCATTGGAATTCAGATAATTTGATTTGAGCGCATTAAGAAAGGCGCTTGTGAGTATCTTTCTGTACAATGCATTGAGCATGTACAACGTACAAGGTACGAAGATTTTGTTACTTCTGAGTGTTACGAGTTTCATTCTAACTATGTAGTTTCGTCTTAAGTAAACAATAACTTGTACTTTCACCCTTATTATCGATACCAAACACTTGCTCATAGGTTTTTTAAAAACTCCCTCTAGACAACCACAGAACTCGATCACGTGATTTTTTAAATCCTTAAATGTAATAACATTGACCGTTTAGCTTTTTTTTAAATCATCCTATGTGAAAGATTACAAGTTACAAGAAAGAAATAAAGACCGGTTCAAGCATCACTAAGATTATTGTAATTTTATTAAATTTATTTGTTTCACTATTATATTAGACTAATACGAGTTAAAAAATTCAAGACACGTCAAAATTTTAAGATTTTGACGTGTTTCGAATCTTGTTTTTATTATTTTCAGACAAGTTGTATTTATAATCAGTTTAAAAAAAAAAGATGAACAAGATGAGCGGAGTCATTGATGCAACCATATCAAATTGTGATAACCATATCAACCATATATTATCAATATATGAATGTGATTCACAAAATGTTGAAGATCTATAACTTCGAATCACATTCATGTGTTGATGATTTAAGTGAACTGTATATTACAGTTATAAATAATTTACAAAATTTAAAATAAATAGAACTTCTATCTCCTCAGGTCTGTACTCATTCTTTGTAGGTAGACTTTGCTGAATTGAGCTCCATATCTTGACCTGGATGGCCGATTTACTCAGATCCTGGAAGCCCTGATGGGTGACCAAATCCACTCACCGTTGTAAAGACTTGAGTTCGATGCACTCTAGGAGGCAACCTCCCGTATCCCCAAACGACAACATGCGAATCCGGCTTGGGGATCATTCGGTGGCCATCATAGTGTTGACCAAATTGTGAGTACTACATTGATGGAGGGAGGACGTTCATGGAGGGCTGCCTGGATCAATGTGGAAGTGTGAGAACCCCAGAACTAGATTTGGATTTAAGTGTTTCCCCTTTCAGTGGTCACGTACCTAGGTGTCCGCCTGTGGACCCGTATACATAGAGCTACAAAGGGTCAGTAACTCTACTTGTGGTTTTTGGAAGCTGCAAGACCTGGACTTTGTCCCTTTATGTATCGGAGATTAGAATGTTTCAACGAGTGTTCAGCGCCTATTATCCAGGTCACAATAATGCGTGAATGTGGAGGTGGAACAACTCCGAAGGATCATTCAATTCTTGTGGTACTGTGAATGATTGATATAGGGAGCAGCTAGTTATTCCTGGTTTATGTTAATTATCCTCCACTGCAGCGTTCATTCACTACTCGAGGCTTCAACTCCATGTCTCCTACCATCTCTTCCCCTCAACTTGAAATCCATCAAATGTGATGCTCTCCGATATCTTGAATATGAAGAGTATGAGATGGACGAACTCTCCCTTAATTTTCGAGAGTTTATCTAAATCATTCTTGTTTCACTCTGATCAATCACATAACTCTCTTCTTAAATAATTATAATTTTTGTAAGATGAAGATTAATTAACATAAACTGAATGATAATTAACTGTTCTCTTTATATATTTTTTTATTTTTTTCTCCACAAGAAAATTATCAGGTATTGTTTAAAGGTTACTTCTGATTTTTTTTTTAATGTTCTCCACACAACGTTGCTTATATCGCTGAGGAACAGAAAATCTGACTGCCTGTCAAATTATATTGTTTCTTCATGTAGCTTTGACTTGTGTCCTGAACACTCTCCAACCTATTTCTCATGCTTCCATGATGAGATCCGAGTCCCAATTCCTCCCCAACCTGTGGCCTGATCCTTGGGGCACAACATTGCTCGCAGCAAACACTTGTATGCTTTGATGGTGCTACGGCTTCAAGATTCTTTAGGATCTTCCAAAGCCCCTAGAACATGCTAATGTGAGGTGGTATGCTACGCCTGCGGAAAATCGAGTGAGTTAGAAGTGTTGTTACGTGCTGCAGATGTCTCAATGCGCGGAACTTAGATTGAAGATCATAAGCTGATAGATCTTAGATGCATGTGTTGATGATATTTCCTTGTCTCCAGTTTCAAACACCATCTACATGTCAGCCCACTCTCTCACTTCCCGTGCATATTAGAACTTGAATCTGGAACGTTGTAGGCTCCGACTTTGGTCAAATTCCCGGTTCAGTGCTCTTTTCTTAGCCTCAGAAAGGACTGAACTTGGAGTTTCTCCAGTGCATTGAAAATGCTTATTTGTAAGAAGTGCTACATCTGAAGCTAATGAGAGCAAGTTGTGACATGTACTCTTTGATCATATTGCAAACTACTTCGTGTACTCTTCTTCAAGTTAGAAGTCTTGATAGATTGTGTTTTAGCTCAAATTACAAACGAAATTTAAAATCATCACACCTAGAATTTTAGGCTAAAGGAAGCAGTAAAACTGAAGTCACATGTCTTCTAATCCTACTGTGAGTCTATTGGTATCCTGCAAAATTACTCCCCACCTTCCGTATCAAAAATGTATTTTCTAGCATACTTACTCATCACACACACTAAAAGTGAGACTGTTAGTATAACCTTCCTTCCGCATACTGCAGATATGCTGTATTCTACGGTCGGCAAAAATTTGGCGAACACCGAGTTTAGCCTTAGACGCTTATTGCACCTTTTTTCATTTTTTATAAGATGCTAATGTATGTCACATTTTTATTTTTGGATATAAAGCTTAATCATAGGTTTTTATGTTCAAACTCAGGGATTTTTTTAGAACAAACCTAATCCATTTGGGTGAAATTGAAAATAAAACTACGGTAATAATTAGTTTAGATGGGAATTTTATATTGATGCAGCGTTGTAGTTTTTTTCCAAACAACATAGACTATTAATAGCCCATTCAGATGATATGATATAAAAATAATTTATACTGCCTCTAGCTGCAGAATTGATATTGACGTTCTCCGTGCGCTTGGTAGTAGAAACGAGGGCCTCGAGGAGTACTCGGATTACTCGAGGTTCGGCCAGGGAGGCGAGGAGCTCGATCATGAATCCGATGGAGGTTTTGATGACATAGATGGAGGATTTTCGGCTTAGGCCAAAATTATATTCCAATGCAAGACTTTAAACTACGTTTGGATCTCAAGGAGGACAGGTCATTTTGATCGTTCATCTAAACAAATAAAAAATCAAGATTACTTAGCTTGTGAAGTATGCTCGAAGGGTTTTAAGATTCGGCAACGTTTCGGCAGTTATTCATTGGGATCAATGAATCTCATGTAATATAGTAAATCATGAATATATATATCTCAGTAATTTTAAAAGCAGTTGAAAATGATGTGGAAAATTAGTAAACTTAAAGTCTAGCCAATATAGACAAAATAGCCACTCGTGTGGCTATTTTGGTCTATCACTATGCCAAATGATGTGTTTGAGTTCCGCTACGCACCTTCTTTCTCAGCCATTTTTAGAATCGGACTGTTAACAAAAATTGTCGAATGGTGTCTTTGAACTCATGCTTATTTGTCAGCCATGATTACTCTCTAGATTCTAGTGACAGATCAAGACGCTAAATATTAATTATATATATATATATAAAAAAAAAAATTGTACTCCACCTGCCACCATCGGAAGGCTACTTTTATTCAAAGAAACCAAACATTTGTTTGATTTTTGGTAAAAGAAGTTCATAAATTTCCTGAGGAGGACATTGCCTACTCAATCTCAAGTAATCCAAGTCCAAGTAAGTCAAGGACGAAAAAGAAAAAGAAAAAAATTATTGCAGTTGTAAGGAATGATCGCAAGGGAGAATCTGAATTCAGATATGAGCATCATGAGTGGTTCATTCAAGAATTTAATAATAAATTCCCAACCTACTTTGTGCTGCATTTAGTGAAGGTCATCATGCTGGAGTTCTAGTATTTTAAAAAGTAGTATCTGATGGGACCAAGGGTCTGTAACATTTTGAGCTTTTAATGTCGCTGAGAGTCTAAATTATCCACATTGGACCACTCCTGTCTACAAAATCCACTGTTAATGAGCCTTGTGGAACATGATAAGAAGATAAACAGGCTGAGCTCTTTGGTTCATGACTTTAAATTGCCCATTACTGTGGAAACTTGAACCCTGAAGCACAGAAGATGAAAGCATTATCCTTCCTGAGTAAATTTCTGAATTTCGAATCATGAATGCTTATCCTTCAGAATCTCCCAGGTTGCTGGAAACCTGAAAGAAGGTTATCAAATTTACCGTGGGCCCTTTTGTTAACAAGATCCGATATTGCTGATATTTGAACCTCCACTCTGCATAGGGCACTTCCAAGCACACACGAAATTTCCTGTGATCGAAGGATATCTTCGTGTAT